ACGAGGCGGTGTCTTCTGTCCTGTGGTTCGACAGTGAGGAAGTTTGCAGTGCATCATGGGACCACACCATCCGCATGTGGGACGTCGAGACGGGAGCAATGAAGACTACACTGGTGAGAAACGAGCAGTTGGTCAAAACCTGAACCAATTCAAATTGGATGACTTCACAGTAGCAGACAGATGTTTTTGTTTGTGGTTTCATGGTGGTGGTGTTTTTCATGCTGGCTCCCTGTCACGTTGTCATGGCTTACTGGGACACTTACATACAACAGAGCCACATATCTGTTTTTTTTATTATAACAGGCCGTGGGTTAAGTTTTATTGGTGAATTTACAATTAGAAGCCTACATTTTAATTCCCAGCAGCATGAGAAAAATGTAATCTATATTTTTATTTACACTCAATATTCGTCTAAAACGATAGTAGAATATAATTGAAACATAAGGCGGTAAGGCACAGTGCTCTTTGTAGGAAATCTGCAAATACTATGTTTATCCATAGTATGAGGCTTCTATTTGTGAATCTATATTGCATTTTCAGTTTTGGACAAAGCCTCTTCGGCACACAACGCATCCATCAACATAACACTGAACCAAGATAAACAGAAACCTCAACATCAGTCATGCCATAGCTCAACTATTAAAGTACTTGATGGACCATTTCTCCCAGTTGTCTCCTTTCTCCATTATTAAGATATATCGTGGACAATCTCAAATTATTGTTTCCTCCTGGGAGGTTCAACGTTATACCAGTTTCTTGTTGTAGCTTTTTTTTTTGCTGGCTATAAGCAGGACTTTTGCCAGATATGTCTCTTTTTTGTATGACCTCCTCAGTGTTCAGGTACATCACAACACAGTTGTTACAAACAGCATATCCTATGGTCTCTTTAATAATTGGATTCACGTTATTCCAATAAGGCCTTAGTTTAGTGCAGCTCCAGAAAAAGTGTGTTTGGCCTCTTGGTTGCCACACAACCTTCAACATGATTGCTGGGTCTTTATCTGTCTACCTTTTGATCTGAGGTTTGACTCTTCCAGCCAAACTCTCGACACTCGTGAATTACTAGTAGTGATTTTAATAGCCGTGTATAATAATTTTTTATTAGACTACGATTTTCAGTTAATTGTTTTTTTTGGGGGGGGGGTGAAGAACCTCTGACATCCTCTACTGCACTTCATATACTGTTGGTGAACATCATGGCTGTTTTAAGCATCCACACTGCCTCCTTTTAAATGCTTTTGTGTTCCTCCAAGCAGTGACGTTTTATTGTCACAGAAAACCTTTTTCTTTAAAACATACTTTCAAACCTGATAACATTTTGAAATTTATTTGGCATTTCCCATTATAAACTGGCGTCTTTTGTCCTTTCCACAGACGGGCAGTAAAGTGTTTAACTGCATTTCCTACTCGCCTCTGTGTCGACGGCTGGCCTCAGGCAGCACTGACAGACACATCAGACTGTGGGACCCTCGCACCAAAGGTACGGCTGAGCGCTAAATACCACAGATGTCTTAATGTCCAAGATCATTTTGTCTGCCTCTCCTAAAAAGACACAATCGCTGCTGTGTTAGCACTTTCACTCTGTTTCCTCGCTTTTCCTCTTCACGGTTCTAAACACCTCCCCTCCCCTCCAGACGGGTCGCTGGTGCTGCTGTCTCTGACCTCCCACACTGGCTGGGTCACCGCTGTGAAGTGGGCGCCGGCACACGAGCACCAGCTGGTCTCCGGTTCCCTTGACAACCTGGTCAAACTGTGGGACACTAGAAGGTTTGTGAAGCACATATTTCACAGTGTATACTGGTTGATATTTATGTTTAGAGGTCAGTAACATATTCTCATTGGGAGGATATTTTTTATTTCTGTTATTGTCAACTAATCTTTTAGAAAGACCCACACTGACAAACATATCACGTAAACGTAAGTTCTTTTCGTAAGTGTTTACATTCATTTTTAAAAATGCTCAGTAGCTTCCTAAATTCTGGCCACTGTAGTTTTTACAGGAGGAAACATTTGTTGGGGACTAAATTAAGTGGCAGATGAATCCACATTTGGTGCTCTAGAGAATTTTTCTGGCAGCAGGACGATGTTTATGGGATTGAGTCATAGTAAACTACAGTGTGTGTCCATGGTGATGAAGGAACATGTCACGCAGTGCAACAGTGCAGCTCATCAGTGCAGCTCATCAGTGTGTTTTTTGGATCCACACAACATAATTCATTTTTGGTTGTGGTATTTTCAGTGGGTTTGTTGACAATTAGAAAAATGTAACATCAGTTATGTTTTTTGATCATTCTCCTCAAAGATCTTTTTTTTTCATTTAAATATTCATGTGAGAACAGGTGTGAAATGGCTTTTGTGTTATTATATTGTAGGTTTTCCAGTATTTACCTCACTTAGATCAGTAAAATGTCTATAAAAATAAAATCTTGTGGAAAATATTGGAGATCAAACAATCAGTAGCCTAAATAAATTGGTTAATTGTTAATAATGTTTGTTATGCATTTCTCTCTGCAACGAACAGGCAAAAATAGGCTCACTAGGTCAGGTCCTGCTCCGTAGACATCTAATGCAGTATTCAGCACTGTCCAAAATAATAATTTTTCAGATAAACTAAAAAATTAAGTGTTTCTTTTGTTTTGAGAAAAATCTCTCACTGCTTAAACTAAATAAACTGGATTGGATTAGCTAAAAAATGTATCGTCATAAAGCAGAAGGCATGTTTTTCTTATCTGATGAAAGTTGATGTCTGGTTTACTCCGACCATTTGTCCAACTTGCCTTTGTACTGAATAAATCATAGTTATTCTGTATTTTTAGCTGCAGCAAGACAATTCAGACTTTAATTTAATGTTCAGTAGCTAATGAGGGCATGAGCTGGGTCAGTATCCATCCTGTAACACCATGAACAAAAGGTCTCTCAGACTTGCAGAGCAGGACATCCTGTTCATTTCACACGTGTGAGAGCAAACAGCTTTCTGCTAGAGGTGCCTCTGTCTGGAACAAGCTTCCTGTCTTTGTCAGAATTAAGTTCTGTGGCAGTTTATAAAACTTTGGTGTCGTTTTTCTTATGCTCACATATACTAAATCAAATCCTCAGCTTGAACCAGTCAGTTGTTGGTACTGTGTAATAAACCTATGAGGTAAATAAAGTTTAAATGTTGCTGTTGTGTCTCCCAGCTGTAAGGCTCCTCTGTATGACCTGGCGGCCCACGAGGACAAAGTGTTTTGTGTGGATTGGACAGAAAGCGGGGTAAGACTGTTTTCCACAAATAGAATCCCAAAGCAAATAATATTCAGTGTTTCCGCCACAAAATCAGTATATAACTTTCTTCTTTTATCTGTTTTTTTTTTTCAGCTAATGTTAAGTGGAGGTGCAGATAACAAGCTCTACACCTACAGATACTCGGCCTGTCAGACAGATGCGGGGGCGTAGGCTCAGCAGCCAGCATGGGCTGCACAGATCCACTACGTCTATCACCACAGACGCACAGATTGGACAGACGTATCAGTGTTGTGACAGGCAGAAGAAAACAGCAGTGATTGTGAATTTTGTACTGTACAAAACTTTGCTTGCTTTGTTCGTTGCTGCATCTGATTTATTTTTATCCAACCATCAAATTTTACAATTTTTCTTATGGATTGTCTTTGTTTGCCTGTAAACCAAGAAAACATTATAAATTACTTTTGTCTCCTAAAATGTCACTTTTATTTAATATTTCATTCAGTAGTGCTTGGTAGTAAATATGTGATATTTGGACTGGTTCATAGTTTTATAACCAATCGTAAGGCAATGTAAGGGTGAAAGAAAAACAGAACAGTGATATAATGAAAAAGTTCAACATATTAAAGTAATGCATTAGATTTTCATTGGTGTTTTTTATTTTTTCCTTACCTCCAGGTTGGCTAATTAGACTATTGATGGTGGAAGTAATTAAACCGTTGTATTAGGAAAGTAACAAATTATTATTGTTTGTAAAGGTCTGATACATTTGACATTTTGCAATTACAATTTGCAAGTGTTGTACATAATCAACTTCCTCGTGTTTTTGGCTGGCAAAAGGAAAAAATGTGTCTTGTGGGACTTTTTCCTTCTCAGACTGGTTTGACCAGAGAGGAGGTTAAACTCAGAGCTATCACTCTGGTTGTTCTTATTGTATTATAAACTCAGGTCCAGATCAAAAACCATTATGCCAATAGCTGGACTACATTATTACAGAAAGGCTGAACCTTCTTTAAACCACATTTTGAGATTTGGGAAACCTTTATTTTATTTGTGAAAATTGAAAAAAAAGGGTGATTTATATCTTGTTGGGGTTGTTTTACATGGAGACCACATTAGACCAGGTCCAGATAAAAACCACAATGCCAAGAGCTGTCAAATCTGGACTAGATTATTACAGAAAGGCTAAAGTTTCCTTAAAACATATTTTCAGATTTGTGAAACAACATATTTGTGAAACCTTTATTTTATTTGTGAAAATGAAACCAGGGCGATTTATATGTTGGTGTTTGTATATGTTGTGTTGTTGTTGTTTCATTTTCACAAATAAAACAAAGGTTTCACAAATCAGAAACTATGTTTTAAAGAACATTTTGCCTCTATATGACATTTGATAGCTCTGGGCACAGTGATTTTTGATCTGCACCTGAGTTTCCCTTCACTTTCCCCTTACCTATCGAATCTGAAGTTAACTTCGGCATCGTAGTGGGATAACCAGTCCCACGTTAGATTAAAAAAAAAGGGATAATGTTGCTTTCTTAAACTCTAGAAGAATTAACCTGAATTCAGAAAAACAAAGGACAGCAGTATTCACACTGTTGTAATCGAATCATCATCCATGTTTTCTTCTGATCTAGACACCTGCAACACACTGAATGTTTTTCAGAAAAATAGTCAACTGGTAAATGAATGAACATGTGAAGTCCACTTTTGCAGAATGGCTCCCCGTCTTCTGTTTTAATAGACGATCTTCGGTGTGAACGGCAGCGCCCCCACCTGGTGTCCAAACGGCGGCGCAGCTACTTTGCATATCCTGTTTCTCTGACTCAGATGATGACGGCCATCGGGAGAGGAGGCTAGCCGAGCTGCGCTGCATAGATGCTCGGGCTGCTGAACAAAACTACAAGCAAGGTAAAGGCATAATGACTGTAATACATTATATAACCATAACATTAAGTAACGGACTTGTTTAATCGCCTTGTCGCTTAGCTAGCTGGATATTCACAAGGCGTTACTGTTGGCTGCTATTAGCTAAACTGCTGCTAGCTTCTTCAACTGGCGTTTTCTCGACTAACGTTATGTTTCTTCTAACGTTACTTTTATACCTTGTCGTGCATTTATTCAAAGTAGTAATAAATGTTAGAGTTACACTTTGGCTTAGCTTTTTCTTTTCTCCCGTGTCATGAAGGTAAGTTAGCATGTCTTGTAACTGAACACCTGCTCGACAGCAGCCAGCTGGCTCTCAGCTCTCTTGACTCCTTGAAGTCGCAGGTGTCTGATCCCAGCTCCAAGAACCATATTAGATTAGCGTTTTTAGCCTTTAGCAACCGAAAAGGTTTGATTCAGCCACAGATAACTTTCTATGATGACCCATAAGTCGATTACATTTCACTGGTGAACAGCTGTCATCTGTTTTGCCTTGGTTGTACCGCAGCAGTTCATTTTTTTTTTCTGTTACTCCGTTCATTGTTGGATGCAGAGACCAGCATTGTCTCTCCCACTTACATTAGACAGTCATTCAGTTTCCATGTCATCAAGCTAACAAAGTCTGCAGTCTTGGACCCTAAACAAGGAAATATGAAACCAGGTGTGCAATAATTGACACCAGTTACCATTTTACTTTATGCTTTTATGCCATCATGCTTTTATTCTTATCTTCCTCTGTTTTTCAGATCAGAAAAAAGGCTGATACTCAATGATGGATGGGTATGTGTACATCTCATTTTCAAAAAATGTAATATTATGATGATGAGTGGTGGTGGGGCAGTGGATAAGACACATGCTTTTAGTGGTTCGAATCCACTATGAGACACCGGTGTGTCACTGAGCAAGACACTTAACCCCTAGTTGCCACAGAGGCGTGTGACCTCTGACATTCATAGCTATTGTAAGTCGCTTTGGATAAAAGCATCAGCTAAATGAATAAATGTAAAACACTGTTGTTATAAGCACAACTGTACAGTCAGGTAAAATAAGCCGTCGCCCGTGGCCACAGGTTTGCAGGGGACATGCTGAGCGGCGGCCGGGCTCTGCTCGGCGAGGACAGCTCGGTGATGGCTCGCATGCAGAAGAAGTTCTGGAAGACCAAACAGGTCCTCATCAAAGCCACGGGCAAGAAGGAGGACGAGTACGTTGTGGCCTCTGATGCTGATCTGGATGCCAAGCTTGAGGTAGGAGCGTTCAGCAGGAGCTGCAACAACACAAGCTGTGTTTTTACTTTACCTCTTATTCCACCAATACTTAATACCAAACATACTGTAATCCACTGGACAGGTGAAAACGAGTCATGTAAATGTTCTTTAAATCAAAGATGTTTTCCTGTAAAGACTCCCTCTGCCATTGTGTCATCATCTCCGAGTTCTTCCTATCACCAGTGCCCATTATGTCTTTCCCATGGAACCATGTTGGGTTTCTCCTCTCTCGTTCATAACTGCAGGAGTATTATTTTCTGCTAAAACCACTGCCTCAGTTGAAAGCACAGCATTAAACTAATAATGGTGCTAAATGCTTCACATAGATCCTTATTTCTTGTGTGACTCACTGTGCATCTTGTGATGGAAAAGCATATCCCATCCTCTAACCTAGCACTTGTGTACCAAACTTTGTGGGAGATTGTCAGTCAAATTTCATTCAGAAAGAGACAAATTGTGGCTCACATTGTCCCTGCTACATCTGCAAGGCCTGCCATACTGTTGGCCTGTTATAATCAAATACTCAGATCTATTACTTCAACAAAAGCACCATGAAATAATGTAAAAATAAAGTCCTGCATTCAAAGGACAGAAGTATTATCAGCAAAATGTACTTGAAATATCAAAAGTAAAAATTCTCAGTGTGCAGTAAAATGTCCCCTGTGACTGATATATTATTCTGTACAACGTTATTAAATTGTTAGTACTGATGCTTCGATATGTAAGGAGTATTTTACTGTTGTAGTTGCTCGAGGTGGAGCTAGTTTGAACTACTTTTATATACATTTAGGAGGTTTAGTTCAGTGGTTCTCAAACCAAGTGGTCGGGGCCCCCCAAAGGAAAATCTGAGGTGTCATGAGATGATTAAAGGGAGAGGAAAGAAGACAAAACTAAGGTCTGATACACACATGTAAAATCACTTTATGAGCTTTTATCCAATCTTTGCTCTTTTGTGAAATGTTTGATAATTTGAAATGACTCTTTGGTGGAGCTGCTAACAACAAAACAACCACAGACGGAGTTTTAATAATGGGTACTTTCTGAGGTTGAAGTCAGGGATCCATTGGTGCTTAAGTCAGTACAAACCCCTGCTCTGCAGTCAAATTTTGTAGAAACCCATGGAATTTTATTTTATATTCTTGTGGGGTTGCCAAAATGTGTCTCAAATGATGCACAAGATATATAGAATATTTCCATTTGATTGTATGGTGCAGCCATTAGAAACATGGACTCTTAGTTTGATTAGCTCACTCAGTGAAAACATCATATCTCATCACACATTCATACCTGTAACACCTTGTAACTGCTGTTTTTTCCACTGTTGTAAACTATAACAAGTAGATATTGTTTACCAGATGTGAGTGTCTCTGTAAAGGATTATGTGGCTGTAGAATGAATACAAAGAGAGTTTTATTTTTTATCAACAGTGTGTTGGCGCAAGGCGTCCATTGTCAGATCTTTTCTTGCTGTCTAGATTTAACCACTAATTATAACTGAGATGGCTCGCACCACATCACAGCTGTGAAAATGATGTCAACAGGGTACGGTTTGTCCCTCTGCCTCTTAGTCATTTCTCACGAATGAGAGCAGACAGCTTGGATAGGCTTAAAACTGGCTGGCATTTAGCTGTGCCAGACTGTCCGGCCCTGTGAGAGGGGGGGGGCACGGTAGAGTTTCAGAGCTGCTAGAGACGCACTGTGAGGCTTTTGTTTGCTCAGGAACAAGATCTTCTGTCCTCATTGTCCCTCCATTCGTCCTCGGCTAAGACAGAAAGTCAGGATAGAAGTGGAAAGTGTCGATGGATGAATGGCAAGGCAGAAGAAAAAGAGCCCACACTTTACAAAGAACAGATTTTGGAAGAGCAGATCTGTCTACAAATTTCATCTTAACTTTGAGCCATCTGCGGACCAGCAGAGCACTAAAACCACCAGGGAGGATTAGATTTGGAGCAGATCCTGGACAGCGGCCTCACAGCTAACCAAATTTTATCGGGTTATTATCACGACATTGGCTCAGTGCATGTTCAGATTTCATCTCAGCTGCTTTTGCCCTCTGAGCTACTTGAATGAAACATCAGATCTGATTTTGGCAATATCTGTTACATATTTTTCAAGCACAAGAACAAATGTTTATTTCATCCAGTATTGAATCATTATTTGATTATATCCTTCTCTTTTAATCGTGTCTTTTTCTTTGTCTATATAATGGTGGAAACTTTGACAATGACACAGGAAAATCTCAATTAGAGGGACAAAACTTAAAGTAGCGATGTGTGCATGTACCGCCCAAACGCAGACGTGGATGTTTCATTCCGCCTGTCTCTGTTTTCCCCCCCTGCCCATATTGCTGTGACTCAGACAGACCAGTTGCCTTTCCATAACCGTGATGTTGATGGATCGGCCAGTATTGCTCATCTCACAAATAAACATTAAAAGCCGAGTCGTGCTGTGCAGGAGCGCTGACCTGTGCACAGCTCTGACACTGACAGGTGTGCGGCCACTGCTGAGCCAGACTAGACTGACTGTTTATTATACAGTTAATCAGTAACTGCACATGTTCAGGTCACCTCCTCCCTCTGCACTCTCGCAGCCTCTTAAGTCTGGGTGCAGGGCAAAGAAGCAGGCAGCACTATTCTTCTTTTTTTCCACTGAATAAAGTTTGATGGGGGCTGTTGCTGTGTCATCAGCTTAGCGGCGGTGTAAGGCTTAAGACGGGTTTGTGGGTGTAGTAGGTGCCAGTTTTTGACACTGCTGCATCGATTGTGATCCATCCATTTTGACTGATTGTTATAGTGGTGCAATGCAAAATCGATGGGGTACTCTTTTAACCCTACTGCTGTGGTTTAAACCTGTGGCTTAGTCAAAACTAGCTGCTGTACCCTGTATAAATAAATGGCCATAGGAGTCATTGGATCTGAAGTTTAAGTTAAAACTGCAGTCATGGTTTAATATTAAGGTTAAGGCTTAAAGCTGGGGTAGGTAATGTTGGAGAAACTAGCAGTTAGTTTAGTTTGGCCAGTGTCCTATCCGCTAACACGGAGGGAACGGGGTTTATGACCTATACTGCGGAAAGCCAACCGGGGGCGATCAAGATGTTTGGGGAGCTTAATGTGTTCTAGCTAAGCTAAGCTAAGCTAGCAGGACGCTAACAATCACACAAGGCATACGAGAGCTTTATGTGGGCAGAGGAGCAAACAACTGGAAATATGAACAATGTTAGCTGCCCATTGTTTGTTGAACAAGAGGATCTTTTGTAGTCACATTCTCAGTGGCTGTTAGAGGAGATATTTACCGGCTACAATCAAGTTTTGTCAGAGACGTAAAGTGGAAGGTTCCCCTAATGCTCAGAGGTTCTTGTGAAGTGAAAATGTAGTTGTCCCTGGTTCAGAAGACCATCAGGTGAAAAGATTAAAAATAGGGATGTAAGGGTTTGTCTACGCTGATATGACATCATTACTGAGGGCACTAATAGTTTTGTTGCAAGTTTTGGTATCATGTAACAGTGTCTGACTATTTCCTGTAACTCTATACTGACTAGAATATAGACATTTATAATTTTGACGTGCAACAGTACAAAAAAGCACAGGTGTAAAAAAAAAAAAAAAAAAAAGAAAATAAAATGAATGATGGCTGAATTCCACATAGCTGCTTCAGTTTCAGGGTCCTGGCTAGTAATAGGGTAGCCATTAGGCTGAGATCTAACATTTTGGGATAATCGGTATCAGCCATTACCTGCACTCAGGAGGCCGATATAATCATCCTCAATGACAGCAGATCTAATCTAAAACTAATTAAATATATTTTGTTATACTATAGAGAATAATGCAGCTGAATGACGTCACTTCTGACCAACACTCTCCTCAATTTAAACGCGCCGCCCACAACGCTCACTTCGCTTTTGGTCTTTTGGAAAGCACCATTAAACACCAGTAATGCTCTGTTTCCATTTCATTCATTAATATAGCTTCCATCTAAAGCAGCAAGTTCCAGGCAGGCAAGATAACATGTACATTACATTGTACGCTGCATGGAATTATACATGACATTGCTTTAGCCCTTGCACTGTATTATAGTATTATTGTAATTTTTGTATACTTGTACATTTTGTCGATCTCCTCCTTTTTATATATTTCTATTTATGTTCATGTGTACTGTAAGCACCAATTTATACCAAGGCAAATTCCTCGTATGTGAAAATGTACAATTGATTCTGATTCTGCTCTCTAAATATCACTAGTCCTGGCTTTGTTGCCAGGCTGTCACACTGTGTGTAGTCATGGTTAATGTTATAAATAACACCTGTGCTTTTCCTACTACTAAGTCAAAATGTCTGCTGTGGAAAAAAGTGTCTAATGCAGATTCTTCCTGATGACCCGACTTGATTCTATGATCTGTCCTCACAACACACACACTCTTCACGAGCATAATGCGCCATACTGTCATCTCTAGCAGGCTCTAAAAGTCGAGGTGACCCCTTCATCCTTCGGTCATAGCTTTCTATCTGGGAGCAGCACTGGAGTGGCCTTGAAATCTGTTTTGCTGCGACACACGCTCATCTTTCAGTCACTGTTGTCCACCAGATGGAAGTAGCCGGCCGACTGCCAGACAGAAAGCAAGAGACAGAAAAATATGTTGTTTACAGATTTAGAGGTTGGAGTGCAGCGTCACTGAAGCAGAGGGACAGACATCATGCCGCAGAAATCTCAACACTGCATATTGCTTTAAAACAGTTTTGTTTTGAGGATGAAACTGTCATAGTAACACGTTTTCTGTGTGAAGTATTTTAATGGGGCTTGTTTGTCTCTGCAGTTTTTCCGCTCGGTTCAGTCCACGTGCACGGAGCTGCTGAAGGTGATCGAGAAGTACCAGCACAGGATCACACGTGAGTGACAGTCAAGCTAGCACATTTCACCAGACCTATTACATGATATCTCTGCACTGACAACAAGAGGTGTTCATTTCAGACCTGTTTGTTCAGCAGCTGCTTTGGTTTATAATATATTTACTCTTCATTACATTTCACTTTTGTTACTGGGTGGAAGTGAGCTTTGAACAATTTACCCTCTCTCTGTAACACAGAGAGAACATTAACTACAAACAAGATTTAATATGCCATACAATAAACACTTCACTGAGTCTCTCGCTGTCCCTCAGGTTATGGCACAAGGACACATACTTGGCGGCAAGGTTTGCCCTATGTCCTTTTCCTAGGATTAAGATTCTTATTATTCTCTGTTCAACATGTATTAAACCTCAAATTCAGCGGTTACTGTCCTTTTATGTACAGATTTAACTGTGGATGAGGTTCTGTCATAATTTTTGTAAGAGACCAAAATAAGGAAATGACTATCAGCACAAACTGAAAAGAGAAGATGTGGAAACTGAAAAAACAGAAGATCAGAATTGTGGCATTTCAGCCACAAGAGATTAATATATAAGGATGTAGATAAAGATCCTTTACTTTAAACCAGTGGGGCACAAGCTGTTTGGTCTGATGTGCTACCTTTAGCCACATCATCTTTCATGCTTTAAATGTGTTGTCATGTCATGAGTATAAACTGGATATTACACAAGACACATAATACAGTTTATTATACAAAAGTGGGACTTTTCTTTTTTTTTATCCAAGACAAAGACATATTGGAATTTTTCTTTTCATTTTTTCAGTAGGCAATTACCACTTTTTCACTATTTATCCATTACTTTTGTCTCTCTGTTTCCACGACTCTGCTTTCTAAATAGTTGTCACAAACTGTCAATCGCAGCACACGGTTAATTTATTTATTTTGTGGGTGCGTGTATTAGTTTATTTTCTTGTTTTCTAATTTAAACATCACTCAAAACATGACTGAACAGAGCACATCAGCGGTCATGATAAAGTTAAGGACTTTAAAGATGAAATTAAATGAACACAATAAAAACATCAAAGAAACATGATGTTTTTGAGACATCCCCTCTCTTAACCTTAAGAAGCGTTTCCCAAAAGCATCATATGAGGCTAAGATAGTTGGTGAGAGGGATTTTACGATCATCTTGGCCTTCATTTGAAACGGCGCCCTGGTATCCTTACCACCACATTCATGGTATGAGGAATGAACTGTGAAACTACATCACTCACTCACTCACTCACTAGTCTCAAAAGTGAATTGCTTATTTATTTTTCCATGTTCTCCTTCATGTATACTTAAATCTTGAGCCCTTTCACCTAGGCTTGTCTCAGGAGGAGAATGAGCTCGGCCTGTTCCTACGCTTCCAAGCTGAACACGATCGCACAAAGGCTGGCAACATGATGGACGCCACCAGCAAGGCCCTGTGCACCTCCGCCAAGCAGAGGTCAGCGGCAGAAAATAATGAGACCGATGCTTATGCGTTGAAGGGATGACTGTGCAGTGCATGCTTTTTTAATTTTGAGAAATATTAAGATGTTCTGATTTTATTTCCCAAAATCCTCCTACTGCAACGTTGCTTTTTCCACAGGATGGCACTTTGCCCGCCACTGCACCGCTTGTACCAGGAGGTGGAGACGTTCAGGCGGCGCGCCATCACCGACACTCTACTGACAGTCAGTCGTATGGAGAAGGCCCGCACAGAGTACAGAGGAGCTCTGCTCTGGATGAAAGACGTCTCCCAAGAGCTGGACCCAGACACCTACAAACAGCTGGAAAAGTTTCGCAAGGTAGGAGGACGCTTGTTTTGCGTGTGTCAAGGGATCAAGTATGTGTGTATGTTTTTCATTGTCTCTGTTGTTAGGTCCAAGCCCAGGTCAGAGGGACAAAGAGCCAGTTTGAGAAGCTGAAGAACGATGTGTGTCAGAAGGTTGACATGCTGGGAGCGAGCCGCTGCAACATGCTCTCCCACTCCCTCTGTACCTACCAGGTATGTTTGTCTCTATACCAAATATTAATATAAATATTGTGTCTCTATTAGCCAATGTTAATGCACATGATGTAGCATGTACCTTGATCTGTCTACCTGCTTGTTTGTCTATCCGGTCTGTGTCATTTCTTTAACATTTCTTTTGTTCCTGTCACGGCAGACCACTCTGTTGCAGTTCTGGGAGAAGACGGCCCACGCCATGTCGGGAATCCACGAGGCCTTCCAAGGACATGTACCATACCAGTTCACCACACTGAAGGTACCAAAGTCAAGCTTTGTAATTTGTTTTGCAGCTGGATAAAACAGTAAGAACACACAGATATCAAATGGAGAAGTAAAAACACAGTACATAAGTGCACTCTAGGTTTTAGTACAACTAAGTTAAAGGCAATATTTGCCACCGTGGTCGGGTGGTGGTGATATTACCTTTTACTATTGGAGTAAGAAATAAAATAGTCGAGTGTTTGTACCTGTTCGTTTTGGCTAGTTGGTCTTGGAAACAGGGTCTGAAACTCTAGGTGAATGGGGATGGATTCTGTTTTCTTTAACAACTGTTTGTTATATAAATCAGACAGACTTTTCAGTTGAGTACCTGTGAGACTGCTCTGTCAGTTTAAGAGAAACAAATGGTCAATCCCAGGCGGAAAGCAACAACAAGAGGTCCAACTTCTTTCACCTGTTTTATCTATTAATACATGTGCCTTAATATTACATTTAACTGTATACTTCCCTCCTACAGGACCTGCGAGACCCGCTGGAGCAAATAACAGACACACAGGAACAAGAAGATAAGAAGGAGAAGGCTCTACAGAGCAACACAGACAGGTGAAAGAAGAAAATTGTTTTAGGTTACCTGAAAAATCTTCTATCAATAATGAATCAAATGTGGCCTGATGTGTGTTCACATACACAAAAAGTCTATCATACTATCTGGCTCTGTTTTCATGCCACTACTCTCGGCTCTCTGCCCTGTCATCATTAACACACACACACACACACACATTTTCACCTCGCTTTCTGCTCTGTCCTTTGTTTGTATGTTTGCATACAACCACCTCAGCTATGTCTTCATCAAACATGAGGCCAATGTCATGCCCGTGTTTACTCACAAGTAAGTGTGTGTATGTGTGGTAGTTCTTGGCTTTAGAATAGTCAACCTGACACTGCAGTTTTTTAACAGCAGCTCCAAATAAAGTAGAGGCTCCTGCATCGCTAAAAATAGCAAAACTGTGTCTCACCAGCTAGATAAGGCACTTTTTCATTTTTTTCCGCTCCTCCCTCCCTCCTTCCTCAGTCTGGTGTCCTTGGATGAGGACAAGCCATCAGGAAGTGCCTCTGACACAGGTATGTGCTGCCCCCTGTAGGCTGAAACATAGTTTTTCAGGGATTAACAGACAGGAAAAGATGCATAAAAGCAAGCTAGCAAAGCACTTTCAAGAAATGGTTTTCCTCAAAATGAAACTTTCTGTCTGTTCACATCAATGTTACTTGTTCATTCATTGCAATTTGTGTGAAACACAAATCAAGTTGGGCTTGATTGGGCATATCAAACTTCACCAAGCAGCATTATAATTGAGCAGCATAATTAAAAGAGCATTTAGTAGAGTGAGGTAAGACTACTTTCACGGCTTTATTTAGAAACATACACTGAAATCAAGTTAAAAGTTTATTTTCTGCTGTCAGGCAAAAATTTAATTGATGTGTCTCCTTGTGTGTTTAGCCATTTATGTAGAATATAAATACACTTAATTACACTAAGGGTGTCAGTGCTTGTGGTATTTGGGCTGTATATTAGCTTTAATGTCAGTGTTACTCTACTGTTTTTGATGTGCCCTCCTCTCCAGACCCCGCCCACAGCAGTGATGGACAGAGGCAGACCAGTGACAGCGGTGAGTTTTTCTGTGTGTGAACCCCTACAGAGACTATTGTTGTTTTTTTTTCTATAGCCAAGACTTGTGTGTACAGTACAGATGTGTGCATTGGACTTGCTGTTGCTGACTGTGGACCGGACGCCTGTTGGCTTTATAATCCTTTGCTCTCAGTGCACCAAAACACAACCATACCCACTCGAACCCTGCACAGCCTCAGAGGACTGTCAGCGTGCTCTGATGACGACCTGATGCTCATGGCCGGTGATCGGCCACAGTCACCGCTCCCAGCCTCGACAAACATCCCTCTCCAGCCTCAGCTCCTGCCTCCTCTTCAGGGTGGCGACCCGAATGTGTCCTGGGGCTTTGGAAGCCTCCAGTCCAACCTCTCACAGCTGCCTGCCACGGGTAAACTGGCTGGCTGTCTCCTCTTTCTTCTACCTGTGATTTATCTCTAACTGCCTTCTCCACTTTCCCATCTTTGCTTGAATGTGGCACAAATCCACCTCTCCTGGAGTTCAACTCTGCTTCCTTTTGCACATTGGATCTGGATTCAGTCTGCCTGGCTGTTGCAATGTAGTTATGTAGGATGAACAGTCAAACATCAGCTTCTCTTTTGTGATATTCTGGGCCTTTACGTACCATTTACCATGCTATTAGGGCAGCTGGATGTAAAACCCATTGCATAAAGGAATAGTTCAACATTTTCTGTCTGTACAGTAATTGTTTGTAATCAAGGACTGGACAAACATCCCTGAAGGAGTGTCCTCTTGATTAACTATGTGAATATGTATATGGTGTGTGGAAATTAGGAACTTTTGCACATTTAATCCAATTTATATGTAATTGCAGAAAGAGGCTATTTTGCTGGAAGAGTTAAGTAAATCCATTTTTTAAAGTCGCTTAAACATTTCGTTTCCCCTGTAATTGTGTACAATGTGTAGCACCCAGGTTATTTCTGACCATGGGAAAACCATCAGTTCTGTGTTATTTGTTTGAAGGCATAACAGGCAGGTTGAAGGACAACTGTCCTTTTGAGAAGATCAACACATTTATACAGAGAAAAGAAAACTTGCTGTCAAAGCCAAGTGTTCTTCCTCTAGACTTTCATCAGAGCAAATGTTTAGCTAAGGGGAAATCCCACAGCTTAAAATCACCTGTGCATTTGTCATGCAAGTATATGCGGGAAATACAGTTCCTATGGTCCAAATATACAGGCCACTACAAATACAATATATTACAAAGGGAAGATAAGTCAATATAGAATAAGCCGTAAAATAACAAACATAATTATTATCCTATGTATGTTGTGAGTGGAGCCCAAGTGACATAAATATTTCTTCTCCAGTTAAACTTTGCCAGTTTTGACAGACAAATGACAAAAGACTGGCACTATATTGACAATGAATTTGAGAGCAAAATAGGCTTCATGATATGTAGGATTTAACTGATTTCCCTGTCAGAAAAAGTAGGCCCATCATGTACTTAAGATGTCATTCTGAATAACTCTTGTTAACCAGAATCTTGATGGCCTCCAGTATCAGAACAATTGTTTCTTTATTCTTCTGTAATGAAATTCACTCCCCTCACGGCAGGTGAAGCACAGGTGGAAGTAACAATGCTAACAACGGCTCCGATCCTGCAATTGCTGCAGTGCTTTGCAGCTGTTGATGTCATTAGTTGCACCTGAGTCTCACAGGTCTGCTGTGAAAAAGGGTTTATTCTTTAACTTTAATGCCACTGCACATTTTCCACCAGTCTAGAGGCTGGGAGCTTAAAGAGCCTTCTTCCCGACAAATGCCTTCCATAAAATTTCAGCAAAATTTAAAAGGTAGTCTAAGTTACAAAGTCATATTGCTGTGTGATCAGATGAAAAGACATGTCACTTTTCTCTTCCAACACATTTCAGACAGACACAAAATTGTGTTCTTTATGTGCAATTTAAAAGTAGCTTTCCGATATGGAGAATACAGGATGTTCTTAATAGACAAGTCTTAACTTTAGCGAGTTGTAACCCTCAGTAGCAAGTTGCGGGTTTAAATTTGTAATTTCATCCCTCTTTTTTCCTTTTGGCTTTGTAACTATCTGCATCTCTGCTTAGATCCTCGTCTGCCTCTAACTGGTGCGGAGGCACATCTGGCCCTTTCAGAATCAACTGTGAGGTATTTGCTTCAGGTCTTATAAAGCCACCCTCCTGTCTTTCTCTCTTCCCTCTAGATGGGTGTCTGCTCTCAGATGGTTCACCCCACCCGGCTGAGACGGGACTGGAGGAGGAAGATGGCGAACGGGGCGACATGGCTTTCCTCAAAGACCTTCTCAGCCCGGGCCCGGGGGCCAGCGACGAGTTCAGCAGAGAGTGGCAGGATGCTTTCGGGCTTTTTGACCCTCCCAGCGTCCCTCCATCGAGCACAGGGGCAGCAAGTAGTGGCCCAGCGGCACGTCCACCCTCAAACCCGCCCAGCCCCACAGGCTTCCTGCCCTCCCAGCTGCTGGATCACAGTCTGAGCTCTACAGGTGAGCCACACTGCTCTATGCTGGAGGGAGGCGCTCACTGTAGCACACTGACTGATCACTCTTTGTAATATAGAAACATTATAATAAATAACAGGGTCTTTCTTTACTCATCTTGACATGCTTTGTCTTTTAGGCTGGTCAACCCCACCCATGTTCCAAGCTCCGCCCCTGCAGCCTCCTCCTGGTCAGAACCAGTCAGCTCAGCTGGCTCCAAGTTCTGCAGCTCATGGTAACTTTTTTCTTAATCTGCGTTCTTGTCTGTACTTGTGTTTTTTGCAAAAATGCCCATTAATCCCCTTGTCCCTCACTATCTATGTTCAGTGTGAAGGGATTATCCCAGGAAATTGTTAACTGAAATGGTAAACCAATCTCTTCTCATGATCAGTTTTAGTTAAGTCTATATAAATTGTGTTGGTGGAGGTGGTCGTAGTACCAGGCTATAAAACACTGTGGTAAACTTGTTGTGTACATTATCCCTGGAATATTTCCCAGCCCCAGCTTTGTTGTGTGGTAATTTGATTAAATCCAAATGAATGTAGGTCTTAAAAATAGATTTTGACACAACAAGACCATGTTAAATCCCATGTTAGCCGATACTGTGCTTGAGTTGTACATATTCCCAGAGAAAGTCACAATTATTCTAATTACCACAAACCAGTTGCCATGTAATAAATAAACAGCGGGCTGTATGGGGGGCCCCTGGGGCCCACTTAGTAATCCAACTCCACATTTAGCCAGATATGGTCCTAAAGTGATTGATAATTATCACAATAAATGTCAAATCATTACTTCTTTCAAATTTTAAAGGCTGATTTTTGCTCCTGAGTGAAAGTTGAAGAAACCATGAACAAACACTTGATGCCAAACATTGGATCACTTCACAAATCTGAGGCAGAACATTCAAAACAATTATGATGAAATCTTTTTTCAGTCCCTTTCTCCATCTAAATAAATATCTTAATTGACACATTAAGTGCTAATTTGTTGATGATTCAAATGAATTAAACATTTATTGAAACATTGGTTTTATTGTTATTGAAGAAAATTATATTGTGATAATTATCATTGTTTTATTGCCCAGTCCTAATTTGAGAGCAGTACTATTACAATATACTGTAATACAGTTATACTGTTATATTGTTGCTGTTATAACTTATATTTTAAGGACAATATTGATATTTGGGACTCAGATAACATTATGTTTTGTCTTGTTAAATGGCAACCAAGATGCATTTAACAGTGTAAAAACAACCTTTTCAGTGCTCTTTGGTGGACAAACCATACTATAAACTACAAACTATTCACTGTCACTTACTGGGATTGAACAAGCCATTGTTAATGTCATTAGTGACTTTCTTACTATGAAAAATCAAAATGTCTTTATGTCTGTTAGGATAAGAGGTCAGTGTGGTTAAATGCTCTGAGAAAGCTAGTTATGTGGACACACTTTTACATAAATCTAAACTTTCTTGTGGGTGTGTATGCAGCAACTCCAAGTGGATCCAAAGACATGTCTGCCTGGTTCAACCTGTTCGCAGACCTGGACCCCCTCTCCAACCCCGACGCCATCGGACGCTCCGCAGACGAGCTGCTCAACGCCTAAAGGTGTGTGTGAAGAAGAACACACATTAACAGTGAAAAACACACCTTGATGCACACACGTGCGCCTGTATTTCTGTTAGCAGGAGAGGTGTCTACATATCCACACATGCAAACACACTCATTGTGTTACACTGGTTATGTTATTTTACACTTTCAGTCCAGATAACGGTTAAACGCTCTCCTCAGCTGCAACTTTATAAATGACTGTTAACACTACACGTGAAGCCACTGAATCGTATGCACACAGCAGACCTCATGGGGTTTGTGTTACCTTTCGCTATTAGTTGTTCCAGCTTCTGTTAAGCGGAGAGAATGTTTGAGTTACGGGTTTATTTTGGACGCCGTCGCATGTTTTTCCCTGTGTGCTGTTCATGTTTGCGTTGTTTGGGTGTGTGTCAGTTTGCTGTGTGTACACATCACAAGGGACCCAGGGTGTAAAATAAATTGAGTGCTTAGTGTCTATTTACTACTTAATGTTGTTTTATACATTGTAGCACATGATTTTCACTTGGACTGAACAATTAATAGAAATCTTCAAATCGCAGGAGGCGCAATCTTTGTTAAAGGTCTAAATATCATGTTCTACAGACTTACTTATTTGTTTGCTACAGGTCCCTTCAAAAATTGCACCATAATCATTTAAACATGTTTTCCAATGAAAATGACAATAATGATGTAAAAATTATAATTTTCTTCAGTATCGCAAATCATATCGCAGTTGCAATATCAGTCAAAATAATCGAGTCATACATCCCAGTTGTCACATATGAATGGAGAGAGAGAGAGAGAGAGTGTGTGTGTGTGTATATATATATATATATGTTGGACATAGTGTTGTATGTATGAGATAAGACTGAGTCACTGAGCCTGTATTTGCACACACAAACAGCAGCAGCAGTTGTCTGTATCAAAAAGCAAGATTAGTGGGTTATCCAGCTATCTTTGGACTTTACACAGGTTTTCTGGTTTCACAATGCTGACTCACTTTTAGCTGGAGTGGTGGATCGCCATGTTAACCTATGCTGGACAACTAATCTTGGCCGTTTCCTAAAAGCCTCATAAACTGGAGCGGGTTTAGTAAAGAGGAATGGATTAAAAACAGCTTGATTTGTGGCCACTGAGTTCACTGGAGAAATATTAATCGTTCATAGAGAATCCTGTCATGCACATAAGTACTGAGTTCAGATAAAAGTAATAAGGAACAACAGAGATTTTAGTTCTACAGCTCAGGATAACATTTTGAGTGTTAAATCTTTTTAGACTCAACGAGGAAATCATTGTAATTAATTTGTTATGTCAGTTTTTATTATAAAACATGGTAAAAGCTCTTTTGGGCTGTACTTGAGCTAAATGTTAACATCAGTTATCAACTAACTCTCTAAATGTAGCATGTTGGCATGCTGACATTTGCTAATAACCACTAAACACGAAGAACAGTTATCACATTTCATCCTGAGATGAACGTCTGAACCACATGTCATGGTGGATCCATGCATTGTTGAAATATTTGAGTCTGGACCAAAGTGGGCGAGTTTTTCGCTTGGACCATGGGCATCTTTCCGCTCTGCTTTGGCAGCAGGAAAAGCCCTTACACACCAAAATGTCACTATGCAAAGTAAATGGATTATCTTGGGATAATAATGCTTTTATTATTTAGAATTTATTCCTAAAGTATCTTATCTAGATGTGTGATTTTATTACCTGGGGTATCACCACCTAATCTCATGTCATTTAAGTGCTGCACTCATTGTTCTGATGTTCATTGCAATTAAGAACTTCACCTCTGGAATGTGCTTGTAGCTTGATAGTGAAAACCCAGGGTTAATAGAGGCAACTGGTGAACAGCTTCAGGATACCAGTTATCCAGGATCGCTGACATTTGGCTCGGTGAAGCCGGGTAACCCAAGCTTACTTGCTTTGTGATGCGGACCAAACTCTGGATCTTTTAAGACTCCACCAGTTTGATAAATGTGACTCTCTTGTTGATTGAAATTCTCCGTTTTCTGTTAGTCTCAGTCTAATGGTCTAAAAGTGAACTGTGAACCGTCTCTGGAGAGGACTGATGGTGTCGTTTTGACTGAACTGGAGTTCACAGGCCCAGTGGGGAAATATATTTTGTTAAAACTTCATGTTTATCCTCTCACCTTCAGCCCAGATTCTACTCGCTCTGAATTTAGTGTGGGTAAATATAGAATGCGTTTGAAATCCTCCTCAGTCCAGTCTGTCGTTTGAATTTCACAATTACAAGTCCAAGGCCAAGAAAAACTTTTATTTTGAAGTTTTAAAGTAGGACACATGAATTTGCTTATTTTTGGGCGGGTGGGTTATTAAAAATCTGCAAATAATGGCACCTAAGCTGCATAAAAATGTATTTATTTTCAGATGATATCGCTGTTTGCAAAATCAAATGTTTTTGTTGTGCTGTACACTGAAAAATATAACACTGTATAATACTGTCTATTTTTAGCTCTGTGTTGTGTATTTTGAGAATTCACAGATTTTGGAAATATATTATTGTTTTATGGGGAAATAATCAACACTGGAAAACTGTTACCATGTCGTAAAATGTATTTCTAACTTAATCTGCTGTGGATTTAATTTCCACTGAACTACCAAGACTGACATTTTTGAATGTTTACATGTTGGTTTAGTGAACAGCTGCAAAACGAGGATGTAGAGTTTCTAAAAATGTACGTTCTGGATAACACACCTGAGTTGTTGACGTGCACCAACTGAAACCAAATCCTCAGTTATGACACTTGTGTGCCTGTGTAAGTGGCACAAATGTGATCAGAGTGCATCATGGGAGGAAGTCATCATGTCTGAAGAAAAACACTTTTTTATAAAAACTGCACATTAGTATCTCTGCTATTTGTTTTTTTCTACTACACAGCATGTCATTTTATTTTTTTCTTCTTGTTTCTAATGTGACACATGGAAGGAACTCTTATCCTCCTTTCCAAGCGGAGTGGTCACAAGGGGAAACTACATCATGTATTATACTGTTTACTCTTGATTTACACACTTAAAAAAAAAAAAAAAAGAATGTATTTCTCAAGTCAATCACAAATGCTTTATTTAATTCAACTATGCCTTTTTATTTCACTCAAGGGGTTTAACAGATGAAAACTTGGCAGTTCTGTTTCCAATAAACTGGACAAGCAAACAAAGAATCCTTGTCGAGTATTTCTTACGTTGAGCCTATCCAAAAATGCTGTTTATTCATATCCACTTGAAGAAGAAGAAAAACAAAGATTGGTATCTGAAATAAATCTGTATTTCCACATGTATGAATCTGCTCTTTCAGACTACTTCTCTTTGTAAACAGATGTCTAAAAAAAAAAAACAACGACCAAGAACATGTCGCTTGTAGGTGTGATTGTTTTTCAGCAAGTGGATATCTCATTTGGATCAGAACTCATCTAATTTCATTGAAGAAACATTACTCGTGCCAAATCAGGTGACATCCACACTTCTCTCTCTACTTCTACTCTGCTACAGGTTTACATCAGTCAGGATTTCCACTGTGTGAGGCTACATAAATAGCAGCTGTTGGTTTGCTCTCTTAATAGTAGTGTAGACTTGTTAGTGTGCGCTGAGAAGTTAGTATATCTCTTGTTATTTTTTTTTTTTGTGTGTCCTATTCACTACAACCTGAGATGGACGATGCAATCTATTCTTGATTTAAAATTCTCTGCAGACCCAATTATACTCCCGATAAATAAATACATTATTATTCACAATAATGAGACGTGTAGTAATTCACAGTACTCAGCGGAGAAAATGCAGGAGGAGGCAGGGGGGAGGGATATAGGGTACAATTGTTGACTCATTCATTTACATATCTTTGTCAGCCGATAATACAAACACAGTGTGCCTCTATATTTACATATCCAGTACATTCCTATCCCACCGTAGCAGGCACAGTCAAGTAGTAATGACATATACAGGAAGAGGGCCCGGGCACGGAGAGGTCTTCAACCAACAAACTACGACAGCTCCTCATCAGACATCCACATGTGTTGTTAGTTTTAATCAGGTGGTGTTTAAAGTGTGTTTCGTTAATATTTATGTTTAATTTTGAGCTTAGTTCAAAGGAGAACTTTCATATATTGTCATAACCTGCAGTAATTCATTATTTTGACCACTGAGGGGCAGTGGAAACAACATGTAGACACAGCACTGGTCAAGTTTGCCTTCAAATGTAGCGCTTTTAAAATATTAAATGAATAAAAACATGTATTTAAATGAAGTACAAATTAATGCCTGTTTCCATCCACAACTGTTGTGTGAATATTAGGGGTTGGTTCAAGGACACAGACTGCCTGCCAGCTGTGGCTGGACGTGAGAGTGAACTAAAACCAAAAGTTGTGTGCTGTAAAACCAAAACAAAGAAGCTGAAAAGCTCCGTAGAGCTAAGGGGAGCTGCAGTCCAGTGATTGCATGTAGTCATTCATTAATTAATGCAGCTTTAGAGTTAGATAAAAATACTTTGATTTGAAACCAGAGTTTCGGGGTCTTTAAGGTTTGCACTTAAGCAATGTGGACTGATGTGGAGACTTAATTGTAATTGTTATGTTAGACTTTCAGTGCTGAAAACAGTAGGTTGGTTGCAGCTGTATTGTAGAAATCCATCTGCCCTCATGGTCCGCAGTGTAGTTGTTGCAGCTACTCCTTTACTGTAATTTAATTTAATAATTAAATATTAATGTATTTTATTGCTGTTTGCCTTAAAGAATTTGTTTGATTAAACTGTTAATATTATTATTTTAGTTAATTTAAAAAAATAATTAGTAGGTAGTGGGCAGCTTGGGCAGGTGAATCTACATACAGGGGTAGTCACATTTAGCACAGGTAGGGACTGGAAAAGATTCATGGTTTTTACCAAGGCAAGAGAGGCTGTAGACACCATTTGTTTGTTTGCTCGCTTGAAATGGAAATAAACCACATAAACGCTATGCTTGCCTGGACAATGGACTTCTTTTTCCCTGCTTAAGAGTCATTCCGTAGGTGTCTCAGTGGCCATTTGATTTTGAGAATGTTTGATCTTTATTTTAATTTTTTTGTCTGATTTATATTTTGCCACTACAGTAGTATTTGTGTTCACCAACCTCTCCATGCTCAGGGCCCTACAAGCCAGAGGGAGCCTGTCGCCGTGAGGACGAGGGCCTTTTGGACACATTTCACAACAACACTAGCTGAGAAAGACTCAAGGAAATCAGCATGACAAGTGACAGTGAGGGAAAGAAAATGGAGAGAAAGAGGTGGAAAAGGTAGGAACAGAGCGGTTGGGGCAGTTGTGATGGCGGTGGAGTAAAAGGGACAATTGGAGCAAAGGCTGGCGCTTGGGAAAGGAGGGCAAGCAGACACAGGTGGAACACGCTGCACACATCATAGCCCTGGCCTGTGTTTCCCATAGATACACACCGCCCGGCAGGGGACCAGTTCACTGCTACCAGTTAGTGTAACAAAGGCATCGGCCTGTACTGGTTACAGTCAGCTTTAAATGTAAATGGCTGACAGAAGTACAAAACAGATGTCTGGATTTAGTTCACAATTAATATACCACCTGCCTTTCTGCGTGTATCTATGGCCATCATAGTGCAAACATCACGTGTGTCATGCTAAAGAAACAAACATGATCAGAGCACTACGCTGGTTTAGCGAAACTGAGCGGTCTAAGATATCAGGCACATTTTAACTTCTCCTTGTCGCGACCGTTCAAGTTTTGCTACGATAAATCTGGCAGCACCAAAATTAGCCTCCGTGGTCAAACTCTTGGTCGCCTTTTTTTTTTTTTGTAATGGAAGGCATATTTCATATAAAGAGAAATAACTACAGATAGAAAAAGAGATATGTCCGTGGAAAGGCGCCATGGTATAATACGATGAAATAAAGAGTTGTCCTTTTTCGCCCTTTTCCCCCACTAACAGGAACGTAACCAGCACTAAAGGTAGAAGAAAGCGATGAAATGTTGGCCGCAAACCCTGGCACAGGGCTGCAGGACTCTCGTTGTAGTCGTCTGAGGAGGAGAGGCAGTGGGAAGCGCTTTTTCAACAAGATAAGGACATCAGAGAGAGCTTAGCTGGCATGCTGAAGGCATTTTTTTTTTTGGAGCAGAAGGGTTGTTTCCTAGTTTCACATGTTTTCTGATTTAGTTGGGGAGGAGGGGGTTTCCTTCGTGGGGGCTGTGGCGACTTGAAGCCCTCGTGGGGTGTCAGAAGCTCTCAGGCTCTTCCAGGAGGCAGGGCTGGGTGGACAGAGGCACGAGGGACGGGGACAGGCTTCGGAGGCCCACCCCGGGGCGAAAGTTGAGGTCTGGGGCGGGGAGTAAGGGCTTTAGGATACTGACGAGGCAGAAGGCAGAGCCGCTGTTAGGGATGAAGTTGACCTTGTTGCGGTCGGGACACAGGAAGGGAGGAATCTCCTGCAGAGGTTTGGGCCTGCAAACACACATGCACAATGAACGTTTTAATACCGTTCGTAGCGGCTACATCACCTTTACAGGAAAAGGTGTACTGAAATAGTTTACCTTGTTAATGGCACTGTTACGACAGAATGTAGCCTACACAAAATATACAAAAGTCTTACAAGATAGGGTGGCGATTTTAGACAACAAATTCCATGAATAGACCAAAACCTATAATATGTTAGTTCGTCTACCTTGTCTGTGTCTCTCAGGCAACATCCACACTATTTCATTTTCCTTTAAAAACGCAGACCTGTTGCTAGAACCTGCTGTTCAGACTAGAATGGTGACTCTAAAACACTAAATCGGAGAAGTTTGAAAATCACTTTAAACCGCCGGGTAGCGTATTATGCTACCTAACCTGTGAAAACGCTGGTGTTTTCATTAGTAGTGTGGATGTAGCCTCAGTCCCAAGCCCATTGGTTCCTACGCAAGATGAAAATCTGAACCACCACCTCACAAATATACAGTTACATAACGTAACATTTCATTTAAAAAAAAGGCTAAGTGATTTCATCAAACGTAAGCAAATGTTAACATGAGGAAATAGTGCATCTGTTGGGGACTATTTTCAGTGGCGGATTAATCTACATTTTGTGCTCTAGTGAGTTTTGGGGCAGCAGGATGGTGTATGTGGTACTGAGTCAAAATGTGTGTTGTTCAGATAGTATTGGGGAGTTTTCTACTCACATGAACTCCTCGAATACTTTGACCTTCTCACAGCCTCTGGAGGTTCTCTCTTGAACATGTAGCTGTTGTTTGGTCTGGGAGAGGCAGCGTATTTAGGCAGAGGGGAGTAAGGGCCCAGCTCTGAGGACAAGCAGAGAGAGGACACTGGAGGTCAGAGGTCAGGGTCAGAAACACGACTCACTCAGAGAGACTCTGGAGGGCCATGTGTGCGATAGCATATGGTACAACATGTGACGTGTGTTGGCCACCTTTGTCTTCATAGGGGCTGCCTCCACCTGTGTCGTTGAGGACGGTGAGGTAGGAGGGCGAGATGGAGTCGGGACGGCTACTGCAGTGCTGTGTTACCATCAGGCCGCCCCTGAGGGAGTCTGTGTGTCGATGCTGCGGGTGCTGCTGCTGCGCTGTGGGGGGACGGGTGGGGGTGCACGGTGCCCATCTGGGACATCCTGTGGCTGTCGTACAAACACACACACACACAAATGAGGTCACAATAACAACGCTGTACCGGGGGGCTTAATCCCTGGCAAGTGGTGGTGTGTGAACCCTTGAAAAACCTTGAATGTTAATTAATACAGTGAACAACAAAACATTTTTAAGAGAAGGACAAAACGTTTTCAAAAAACCCCTAACCCAATCTCTTAGCGGAACTCACAACGATGGTCTCGTCCTTTTCAGGGGTGTCTTGGATGGTAATGCGCTCGATCTCCTGGTTGAGGCCCTCCACGCGTTGCGGAAACGAGGGGCCGATGACTTGGATATAGGGATGGGTATCAGAATGGTCTTGGGCATAGGTGACTGCGAAACACACACAAGACACGAACACGCAAGGCTGCAGTTAACATCTTTCATTTGGCAGCAGTGAGCAGGAAGCTGCTGCCACAGATATCATATATAAATATATGCTCATATTCTCAAGAAAAATTATAGCTGCGCTTGTAATAAACAGTACCATAAATCATGAATATTGAAACAAGTCTCGGCGACTTGGAATCATTAACTCAACACTGCACTTCTTAGTACAGGGTACGATGTACGACAGATAACAGCTCCATTACTTGATTTTTTTCCCTCCACACAATGACAGAAAACATTTCTATGTAGGTACAGGCAGCTTAACGCACGCACATTTCAAAAGCAGATCACAGAGTTGCATGGAAAAATGTTCTCCGTAGTCGTCGACTTTTATTTGTATCACCACCATATCTAAATGTGGCTTCATGTTACTTTGTATAAGAAATCACAAGAGGCAATGTGTCCCCCAAAGGGTGCAACCAGGCTCTACAGTATGACAATATCTTACTTGGAAAGTAGTATGAGAAAATGTTGCTGTCTCTTGAAACTCATCATGAATTGATTCATGGATTTGATTTGTCCCTTGTGTTATAAGAACGAAATGGGAACTTAGTATGTACTTAATGTAATGTGGGATTGAGTCTTTACAGTCCAGAGTCACACAAGTCATCTGCTGAAAATTGCTTACTTAATTTACTAAATGGATTCTGTCACTATTGGATATTATCTCTGCAACTCTATTGCGTAACATTTATTTACACAACCCAGAGTGCTAAATAGTGTTTGGGAGTGTTGATTGATTGCTTTTGTCTTGTTTGTTTGTTTTCTTGCCGCCACCAATTGCGATTTTTTTGGGGCAGCTTTGCACATGGACAGAAATGGTACTTGGTATGTTTATGTGAGAATACTTTATGTTCAGTAAAATGTTTTTATACAAGAACTGCTGATGTAGTGTCTCTGAACCTATGGGTACTTTTTTTTTTCCTTCTGTAACGAAAAACAAATAAAAAAAATCGATCACGGTTGACAAGCAACAAGTGATGTTTCCTGTCCTGTCTTCTTCAATCAGCTGGCACATTTAGAAAGGGGAGGAGACTCTTCACTTTTGTCACTTTGGGCAGGCAGGCGTGTTCCTGCTGGCTAATGGCTCTTTGTATCAGCTAACAAACTTGTCAAAAGGATTGTGAGAGAAAAGTTGCATGATAGCTCAGCCAATCGCTCTTCTCTTGTCTCATAGGGAGGCCAGACAGCTGGACAGTGCACTCCAGCAGACTCCACAGGGAGCGTATGACTGGCCCTGCCGCTGTCACTGACACAGAGCATCATGACAGGATACTGTGTGTAAGTGTGTGTGTGGTGTGTGGGTGTGTGTGTGTGAGCATCTGCAGAATCAGAAGAACCCAAATTAACTGACTTTTCATAGCCAGAGGTCGTTAAAAAGCCCAGTCACATTTAAAATTACCAGGAGACACACCAGAGCCTAACAGGGACACGAGGAAAAGTGGGACGTCCTCAAAACTCTCAGATCAGGCAGCCAACCTAGTTCCTCAGAGACGGAGCCACTTGGCAGACACCACCACAAACGCACACTCCCTGAAGCACACTGTTTCTATTGATCACCTGCGATGGATGATGGTGTGGCTGCCATTGAACGGGGACTGCGGTCTTTATCCCGTCGATGGCGGCTGCTGCGTTTGCTGCGCTGAAGCTGCTGACGCAATTTGGCAATCTGGAGAATTTCACAGACACAGAGAGACACTGTAATGCAGACATATAGATACAGACACATCTGTAATGGTGGTGCGTTGAGCGAAAGCTACTGCACAGTGTTCAGAAACAGCATTTCCTTCCAACACAATAGGCCTTTTTTTTTCTTTTATTTATTCTGGCTCCAAAATCAGGTGAGAAACGGAC